ATTCATGGTGACAAGACCATTAATTGGTACATGTATAACTATTTTTGACCTTTCCACCTTGGCCTTTGGGTTTAACCCACTTGGTAAAAAAATTAACATTGTCAGTGACTTTTGAACAGTAATAACTATAAGAACTCTCATATTTCACAGGTATATTCCTTGGGAAAGGACCTAATAAATTTTCATGAATCAATTCAGTACGTGAATTATATGTGCAAGACAGCTGCTGGCTACTTTACAAGAGTTAAAATAAATAAAAGAGAGGGTTTACTCTTAATTATTAATTTTTAATTAATTAAAACAAGATGTGTTTGTGAAACATTAAACGCCCGGCAGCAACAAAGTTCGAAAAAAAGCATAAAGGTTAAAGTCAAGGTCACAAGGTCAATGTCCTTGGTGCCATTTGAAAGCACTTAATTAGTGGAGTGTGCATATATACCAAATATGACGTCTCCTTCTTCTATGATTCAAAAGTAATGGCAAAAGTTTAAAAAAGCTATTTTAGCATATAGGTCACAGTCAAGGTCAACAAAGTCATTTACCTTGGTTTCATTTAAAAGAATTCAATCAGTGGAGTATGCATTCCAAACATGAAGTCTCTATTGCTTATGGTTCAAAAGTAATTGCAAAAGTTCGAATAAGGTATTTTTAGCACATAGGTCACAGTCAAGGTCACAAGGTCATTAACCTTGTTGTCATTTAAAAGATAAATTATTGGAGCATGCATAAGTAATATGAAGTCTCTATCTCTCATGGTTCAAAAGTTATGGCAAAGGTTAACGTTGACAACGGACAGACATGACAAAAACAATATACACCCTGAATCCATCAATTCGGTCACATAAAAATATATGACTTATGAAAAGTTATCTTAATACTACAGTAGTAGTAACAATGAATAAGAATTCAGCCAAGTAAGAAATCAGTCGTTGACAGGAGTGCTAATTTAAATCTTCAGTACACATAGACCAGGAAGTAAAATATAACGCAAGTAAGTGGGTCATGTGATACCCATACAGAGATTGTACAAGTATTTGGCTGACAAGACAGACGCCATTAAATTTTGCAGGTAACACGTAATTGGGTCATGTAATTACCTGGCATACAGAGATTGTACTGGTATCTGGCCGACAATACAGACCCTGCAGGTAACATTCATGGATGAATTCATTTGATAATTCTTGTTTATAACAATAACTAAAGATAATTTTTAAAAACAACATGGACAAAATTTGCTCTTTCATTATTTTGATAGTAAATTGAACGTCATGTACTAGTCTATAAATTATATTTAGGTGAATTCTATTTAAATACCATTAAGACTCTACATACCCATAAACAAGGATTATTTAAAGCTTAAAACTCGACTTTTCTGGTACTGTGGTTTCATTAATTTCATTGGCATCAATTTTTGTGGATTTTGTAAAACAGACGTTTTTGTAATTTTGTGGACAAAAGCATTGCCTATACAAAGGAATGTCACACTTCATAATTCAACGATCATTTGAATTTGTGGATTTGTTCAAGAACAAAATCCACGAAAATTGGTGTTCAACGAATATTGATTAAACCACAGTACTTGTGTTTCAGTACTTTAGGATGTATGGATTAATCTTATTATTAAAATAATATATTTAAGGGGAAAAAATGCCGGGTACGACCTTGGAAAATCTTTGAGATGATGTGAAGAGTATGCTATGAAGCATATCATGTAACTCTCTCAACTGTGGGTAGAACAGAGGCATAGTAGCACACATAATGTAAATATGTAACATAAAAAGAGAAATTCTTTTCAGATAAAAACACTAAAACCTGATTTGGTTTCTTTTGTTGGTGTTACACTTTTATCTTCATTACAGACATCCAAACAAAAAGATTGATTGAATTTGTATGTTGTTTAATGTCCCTCTCAAGAATTTTTCACTTATATGGAAATGCCACCACTTGCCGATTGAGAGCTACGAATTTTGTCCTAAACTCAACACTCATGCAGGGCTATTGAGCAGTGAAGATCTTTTTTGAGCCAGTACCTACTGTGATGAGGGACCTCTATTTATTTGCAGTCTCACCCAAAGGGCTGGTCTCCACATCCCCTAGTGGGATTTGAACCAGCGATGTAAGGGTTGACTCCTTACTTCGTGACTCGAGATGTTCTAGGCATACTCTAAAACCTGGCCTGGCCCCTTTGGCCTGGCCTGGCCTCTAAGTTGGCCTGGCCTCTATTTTGGCCTCTAATTTGGCTTCAAACCAAATTTTGGCCTGGCCTCAAAAGTTGGCCTGGCCTCAGATTTGGCCTCTGTAAAAATTTTTGGCCTCAATTTTGGCCTCACTCAAAAATATTTTCTTTTTCTGAATTTGATTGATTTTATTGATTTTTTATTGGTTTCATTTTTTTTTCACAGATTAAGCAGGTGATTAATATATTTCTGTTGATATGTAAATGTGAACATTAAAATAATTATACACTACTACCAATCTGATTTATTTTTATTGATTTTCTATTGATGTGTTGCAATTCTGAAGACTATAACACAGAGCATATAATTTTACTTTCAAAAAGACACTCTCTTAATGATTTATTAAATGTGCCTTTATTTTTTTAAATTTCCATGGTAGGAATGATAATTTTTACAGAGTAAAAAACATTTACAAAATCAGGGAGAGGGCTAAAATAGGCTGCGCCTGCTGCCCAATCCTATTCACGATAACACCGGTGAATAAAATATTGTTTAAATAAAAAAAATATTTAGAAACATCACAATTAAATTATGAAGACAACAAAGAAATGCAGATGAGTAGTAATTAACTAAGAACTAAAAAGAATTTTAAATTTGCCGTTTTAAGTATTACTTGTTTAATACAAGTTTTTTTTAACTGTCTTTATTTAGAATTAAAAAAATCTGTTTGATGATGTTGACTACTTTTACAAATGATAGAAAAAGAGTCAATACTATGATATGCAAGTAACTGACCACATTTTATATGATAGGGTTCTAATGGTGAATAGGATGCAATTGTTTTACAGCACAAATGTTAATAATCTATCATCAAACTCAACTTTTGTTTTGATAATTGTAGGTAGTGAAAGTTGTAGCAGCTAGGAAATTCTTTATAAATCATGGGTGGCTTAACAGCCTATGCACATATACATGTCATTACTGATTAACTTCAACCTTTAAACTCCCTGTCAAGAACCGTGCTGCAGAATTTTTTGTCATTTGATATCCAATTACAGTGTTACGGCACACCAGGAACAGAAAGTTATAAATTATCTGATAATGTTATTTATCTTAATTTTTTTTAAATACCAACTGTTCTTAGATTAAAGTGAACATGAATTTTTAACAGAGTAATCAAATAAGTGTAATATAAATATTTTGGTATCTGTCTTGGTATATTTATTTGAGAAAAAAAATCTTAGGTGCTTGTATTCATATATCACACAGATGATGCAGGCATAACAGTAACACAACACTCCACAGTGTGTGAAAGATGATGATTCATCTACTTAACAAGTGGGAATTTTTCAAAGCTATTAATGACATTTGACATGAATTATTACTATAGTTTTTTTTTAATGTTCACAATTTGGAAAACACAAAATAAACTCTGAAACTTTTTTTCTAAATAATTATAAGCAAGAGTATCGGTAGCGTGTCTGTATGAAATACCTGTAAATAATAAAATAAATAACTTGATCAATTGATAATCAATAAAATAATCCTTGTTGGTGGTAGTACATGATTATTTTTAATGTTCACATTCACATATCAACAAAAATATATTAATCACCTGCTTAATCTGTGAAAAAAAATGAAACCAATAAAAAATCAATAAAATCAAATCAAAAAGAAAATATTTTTGAGTGAGGCCAAAATTAAGGCCAAAAATTTTTACAGAGGCCAAATTTGAGGCCAGGCCAACTTTTGAGGCCAGGCCAAAATTTGGTTTGAAGCCAGATGAGAGGCCAGGCCAACTTAGAGGCCAGGCCAGGCCAAAGGAGCCAGGCCAGGTTTTAGAGTATGCCGATGTTCTAACCACTATTCCATGCGGGCAGTATTGATGATATTAACTTATTCTTTATTTTTTCTTTCTTACATTAAATAAAATATATACCGTAAATCTGGAAATTTTTGCTGTGGATAAATTTTTAGCAAATTTGCGAATTCATTGCATTCGCAAAAATATTTTTCTTAAAAATAAATCACCATTAACCAAATTTTGAAGAGTAAAAATTAATCAACAGAATTTTGACCCGAATTCGCAAAAAAAAAAAAAAAAAAAAATCGACGTAAAAATTTCCAAATTTACGGTATTCAAGATTTAAATTGTTATTCTATTCATCTATTTTAAAGTTAATGCATTAAATATCATAAAGTAACAAGAATTATATTGTTTACCTAATAAAACCGTCTATCTATATTCATCTGTGAAAAGGTGAATAATTCAATTATTTTTAAGTTTGAAAAATATAAAGAACTACAAACTCTTAACTCTTGATTCCCGCCTACATTTTGCACCCATTAAATTCAATATTAATGGCAATTTGGCCATTAAATCTTTGTTTAACACAAAGAACACTTCTATGGTAATTGAATCATCATTTTAATTCCATTAAATTATCATTAATTATCATTAATTCCAGGTCTTTTGAAAAGGGGGGTAGACGATATTTTCTTTTGAAAAAAACTTTCAAGAATCAACATATTTTTAAATAGTCTTAAACATGATAAAATATATCTCATACCTTCTCCTATGTCTTCCGCAAATAAATAAAACATATAAATTAATGAAATACAATTTTTTTAAGTTGTCGATAGCTTTAAAATTGTTGAAAAATCAGCATTTTTTTGTTTATTGTCTAAAAAAATCTCTCCCCCCCCTCCCCCCTGTGAAACACAAAAAGCTTTGGCAAAAATTTGTAAAACAACAGTCCATATTACCTATATAAAGGAATTTTTGTTATTGATCACTATAACAAATGCCTTTTTTCATGCTAGGTTTACTTAAATCATGGACCCCTGTACCAGTGCCCAGGACGTGATGCGATGTGACCTGTGTGAGACCGCTGTGGTAGAAATGCATTGTGATACGTGTCTTATCAACCTGTGTAAGGCATGTGTGGGAGAACACATGATATCTGATGAATCCAAAAAACACGAAATTGTTAAATTTTCCCTGAGAAAAACTACCCCCCTCTACCCTGCATGCATATCTCATGTCAAAGAACGATGTGAAATGTACTGTAATAAATGTGATATTCCTGTGTGTGTCACCTGCCTTGCTTCTGATCAACATCTAGGTCATAAATTATTGAAAACTGTACAAGTCTTAGATAACAAAAAAGAAAAGATCACAAAAGAACTGGCTGAATTAAATGAGACAATTTATCCAACCTACCAGGACATTGCCTCTGATGTACAAAACAAAATGAGTCAATTAAAAAAGGAATATGGGGATCTCTCAACAGCCATAACAAAACATGGAGAGGACTGGCACAGAGAAATTGACAAACTTGTCAAGAAACTTAAAGCTGAAGTTGATGAGATGAAAAACACACAGTTACAAACTCTACAGAAACATCTGGATGAAATAAACAAGACAATGTCTGACATCAAGGATGAAATCGATTCATTTAACACTGTTATAGACTCCAATGAAATTTCAGAGATTTTTAAATTTGCATCTGTTAATATTACAAGATATAAAAATATCCCAGAGAAAATTTTGCCATATTTGCCAAAATTCACACAAGGCAGAATCCAAAGGAGAAAAGAACTCGGCAAATTGTTTGGCACCTTATCATCAAGTTCTTTAAATTCAGATGAACATGGCTACAGCATGAAGACAACACACAAATCACCAGAAGCTGGATCCTCTCCTCCAGTCAAACAGCTGCTTGATGAACCAGAGACTGTCACCACCATGAAGACTGAGTGTAGCCTTTACCATGCAGCCTGTCTGAATGATGAAGAAATCTGGACAAGTGGAGATGAAAAAACCATGAAACTCTTCAGCATCAGTCAGGGATCACTACTCAAGTCAATCAGAACCAAGTCAGGGAACAGACCATATGACATAGCAGTGACAAAATGTAGAGATTTAATTTATACTGATTACATTGATAGTACTGTGAACATTGTGAAGAATGAGAAGATAGAGGAGGTGATCAGACTACAGAACTGGATACCTAAAGGTGTCTGTAGTACCTCCTCTGGTGACCTCCTGGTTATCATGATCAGTGATGATAGAAAACAAACAAAAGTTGTCCGTTTCTCTGGCTCCACAGAGAAACAAAGCATTCAGTTTGATGATCAAGGTAAACCTCTTTATTCATCTGATTCTGATTACATTAGTGAGAACAGGAACCTGGATATCTGTGTGTCTGATGGAGCTGGAGCAGTAGTGGTGGTCAATCAGGTCGGGAAACTGAGATTCAGGTACACTGGACATACTAATGCTCCAAAGAACAAACCATTCCATCCACGAGGAATCACCACAGACAGTCAGAGTCACATCCTTACAGCTGATAATAACAATGACTGTGTCCACATCATAGACCAGGATGGACAGTTCCTCCGGTACATAGAATGTGGACTTAATAATCCGATAGGACTATGTACAGACACATATGACAATCTGTTTGTTGCTGAATGTAACAAAGATCAAGTGAAAAAAATAAAATTTCTGCAGTGAAAAAAGTTATTACAGTTTGATCTCTCTATGGACACAACATTTCACAGAAAGTCTATACTTTCAAATAGACCATATAAAAATCTTTAAAAACATACAGGTGTGTTTTTTCTTATACACATTATGTGATGTCAAAGTGGACAAGAAAAATAATTCTATAAATTTAAAAAATGTAACAATGAATGAAAAACCTTGACGGTACGTACATATAAGAACTAACAGTAACTGACCCATGTGGTTTTATCTCACAGTTACTTCTTTATCCAGTGGATATTAGTCATTGTATTCCAAACATGATACCAAAGAAACAAATCATTTGCATTTGTAAATTTGTAAACATGGAAGATCAAGGTAGAATTAAAAATCATTAAGGTTGATAAATCAATTATTGTAATAAAAGATAATACAACACATTTTTTTTTACTTTCAATGCAAACTATTTGTGAAATTACTTATATTATTTCAGATGACAAGTGAATGTAAGAGACTGAATGTATCTTTCAGTAAAAAATAAAGATGTCCTTTGATTAAACCAGCAATCACAATACATGTAATAACTCTTGCACACAGGTGTAACACTGTTAAAAAAAGAAGTATCTTACCCAATGATGGAAGGCAAACCATTGATGTGTTTGTAAAACACTGTTGTCCATATGGCAGCTTTATCAAATGTATGTCAAACCCAATCAAGACTATAGAATGAAAAATGCTAGTACCCAAACAAAATTCTTGTCACAAGGACAACACTAATGTAATATGAAACCCCTACCAACAAATTATGGTGAAGTTTTTATGCTTTTCAAAAATAGGTCAAACTCTAAGGTCAAAAAATGTTGGTAGTCAAAGAAAGGTCTGGTCATGAAAAATATGCATGTGAAAAAAGAAAAGCCTAGCACACACTGTTCAAAAGTTATAATTAGTAGATCAAACTCCAAGGTAAAGGTCATGAGGTAAAAAATGTTGGTACAAATAAAGTCTTGTCATAAGGAATAGACATAAATATTATATAATTTCCTTTTTTCTGAGTGATACATACTGACTGCACTCTCTCTCTCCCTCATCGTCTGGTCCACAAACAGCTTGGTTTTCTTCGGGACGTTGAGACGAGAATTTTGAGCGGCGGGGGGACCCCCAGACAGATCCTTCTCCTCAAACGTGGCATTCCTCTTCAGAATCTTAATCATCAACCCACCACCTAAAGAAAGAGGAATAGAGTCTCATATAAAAAAGTCAAACTTGACTTCAATACAGAAAAACAGAAAAATAAAAAAAATGTTTTTCATGGAGAGATAACATTCCATGGAGCACTTTAAGAAGCTAGCCTGATGAGTGAAGTCTCATTAAGAGAAAAATTGATATTAAATCAAAATATTTAATGGTGTACCTCTTAACTCAGTACTGTTGTATTTATTATAGTGGACACTTAAGTAAATATATAAATATATATTTAATCTAAAGTAATTTTCATAAAAGCAGAGTTTATTTAAGAGTGAACTTTTTATAGTGTTGCCATAGCAGTTTGCAGTGCAAATGGTTTTTTGACTCATTCGTTACGCCTGTAATTTCATACCTACCCTGGTACTTTACATACTCAATAGCTACCAACCTTTCAGGGTCATTATGAGAGTTCCCTCCTCTCGGCCAAACTGTCCGAACTTGAGCCCGGTGACGACATCGTCCGTCTTGATGACGTTGACGAGGTACTTTTCCTTGTAGATATGGACCTGACAATTATTGAGGGCCACTATCACCGCCTTAAAGCCCTTACTCTTGTAATCTATCACCTCCATAGTCGTCATACTCCCCGGTAACTTTACTGTCCACAACTTCTTACCCTAAATAATGGAATTTTATGACATTCTATGGAAACAATTTTCTTGCTGAAGTTTATATTTTCATTTATTCATGTATCTCAAAACTTTGAAAACTCTCTAAGTTATATTTCTAAGCTTGATTATTGAAAATCATGAAAATTGCTTTTTGTATTTGAACTTTGGATATGCCTTATGAGTTAAGGCATGAATTTTTTTTTCCGGAGATTACAAAGTTTGTTGTTTCCGGTTTTCTCCATAATGTTTATACAGCGAATGTTTATTTCCGGTAACGGGAAATTCGGCATGGGCTGAAACAGTAAACCTAAAAGGTATGTGAATATAAAGGCTCCATTTATCATAAATCCAAAAGCTCTTTTTTTTTTTTGGTCTTAGATTTTTCACTGAGGAGCATTTTGCCGTGTCCTTTTTTTTTCTTTGTACAGACATCTTTGCTTGCTTTTGTTTGCAAAACCATTTGCCTCTTTTGTTTGTATTTAAGGTGGGGGTGAAAGTATGAACGAGTATGTAAGGGAGGATGTGTGTGTGAGTTTAAAATCCTTTGTATATATACCACTACATGTATGTAGCAAGCAATTTATATGGAATTTTGTTTATATACAATGGAAATGTAAATAAAAAAAAAAAAAAAGCTTGATTTTTGAAGTCCTAATCTCTTAGCTTATTCTGTTTAAAAGTATTTAACCTGGAATTATCTCGAATCCACAGCTATCTCGAAGATTTTCCTCTGTCCCACTGAGTTTGATAATTGTGTGTGTGTATATACATCCATTACGACAAGCCACCACGATCCTATACTCTACGTCATAAAGACCAGTCACACTGTCTCTTTAACACAATGAAATGCAAGTAAGGCTGTAAGTTTATATTATTTAAGAAATCTTTGTTCAAAAGAATTTGAATAGACAATTAAATTTACACTTGTCTCTTTAGTGGTGTGTGTTTGTCCAAACTAGCTATTTACCTGTCTCTTAGTTGTGTGTGTGTGTCTTGACTTACTGTGGTCTTTACAGTGAGGTGTGTGTTTTTTACCTGTCTCTTTAGTGGTGTGTGTTTGTACTAGTTTTACCTGTCTCTTTAGTGGTGTGTGTTTGTACTAGATTTAACTGTCTCTTTAGTGGTGTGTGTTTGTACTAGGTTTACCTGTCTCTTTAGTGGTGTGTGTTTGTACTAGGTTTACCTGTCTCTTTAGTGGTGTGTGTTTGTTCTAGTTTTACCTGTCTCTTTAGTGGTGTGTGTTTGTTAGATTTACCTGTCTCTTTAGTGGTGTGTGTTTGTTCTAGTTTTACCTGTCTCTTTAGTGGTGTGTGTTTGTACTAGGTTTAACTGTCTCTTTAGTGGTGTGTGTTTGTACTAGGTTTACCTGTCTCTTTAGTGGTGTGTGTTTGTACTAGTTTTACCTGTCTCTTTAGTGGTGTGTGTTTGTACTAGGTTTACATGTCTCTTTAGTGGTGTGTGTTTGTACTAGGTTTACCTGTCTCTTTAGTGGTGTGTGTTTGTTCTAGTTTTACCTGTCTCTTTAGTGGTGTGTGCTTGTACCAGGTTTACCTGTCTCTTTAGTAGTGTGTGTTAGTACTAGGTATCTGTCTCTTTAGTGGTGTGTGTTTGTACAAGGTTTACCTGTCTCTTTAGTGGTGTGTTTGTACTAGGTTTACCTGTCTCTTTAGTGGTGTGTGTTTGTACTAGGTTTACCTGTCTCTTTAGTGGTGTGTGTTTGTACTAGGTTTACCTGTCTCTTTAGTGGTGTGTGTTTGTTCTAGTTTTACCTGTCTCTTTAGTGGTGTGTGTTTGTACTAGGTTTACCTGTCTCTTTAGTGGTGTGTGTTTGTACTAGATTTAACTGTCTCTTTAGTGGTGTGTGTTTGTACTAGGTTTACCTGTCTCTTTAGTGGTGTGTGTTTGTAATAGATTTAACTGTCTCTTTAGTGGTGTGTGTTTGTACTAGGTTTACCTGTCTCTTTAGTGGTGTGTGTTTGTTCTAGTTTTACCTGTCTCTTTATTGGTGTGTGTTTGTTCTAGTTTTACCTGTCTCTTTTGTGGTGTGTGTTTGTACTAGGTTTACCTGTCTCTTTAGTGGTGTGTGTTTGTACTAGGTTTACCTGTCTCTTTAGTGGTGTGTGTTTGAACCAGGTTTACTTGTCTCTTTAGTGGTGTGTGTTTGTACTAGATTTTACTGTCTCTTTAGTGGTGTGTGTTTGTACTAGGTTTACCTGTCTCTTTAGTGGTGTGTGCTTGTACTAGGTTTACAAGTGTCTCTTAAGTGGTGTGTGTTAGTACTAGGTTTACCTGTCTCTTTAGTGGTGTGTGTTTGTACTAGGTTTACCTGTCTCTTTAGTGGTGTGTGTTTGTACTAGGTTTACCTGTCTCTTTAGTGGTGTGTGTTTGTACTAGGTTTACCTGTCTCTTTAGTGGTGTGTGTTTGTACTAGGTTTACCTGTCTCTTTAGTGGTGTGTGTTTGTACTAGGTTTACCTGTCTCTTCAGTGGTGTTTTTTGTACTAGTTTTACCTGTCTCTTTAGTGGTGTGTGTTTGTACTAAAATTACCTGTCTCTTTAGTGGTGAGTGTTTGTACTAGGTTTACAGTTGTCTCTTTAGTGGTATGTTTGTACTAGGTTTACCTGTCTCTTAAGTGGTATGTGTTTGTTCTTGTTTTACCTGTCTCTTTAGTGGTGTGTGTTTGTACTAGTTTTACCTGTCTCTTTAGTGGTGTGTGTTTGTACTAGATTTAACTGTCTCTTTAGTGGTGTGTGTTTGTACTAGGTTTACCTGTCTCTTTATTGGTGTGTGTTTGTTCTAGTTTTACCTGTCTCTTTAGTGGTGTGTGTTTGTACTAGATTTAACTGTCTCTTTAGTGGTGTGTGTTTGTACTAGGTTTACCTGTCTCTTTAGTGGTGTGTGTTTGTTCTAGTTTTACCTGTCTCTTTAGTGGTGTGTGTTTGTACTAGATTTAACTGTCTCTTTAGTAGTGTGTGTTAGTACTAGGTTTACCTGTCTCTTTAGTGGTGTGTGTTTGTTCTAGTTTTACCTGTCTCTTTAGTGGTGTGTGTTTGTACTAGGTTTACCTGTCTCTTTAGTGGTGTGTGTTTGTACAAGGTTTACCTGTCTCTTTAGTGGTGTGTTTGTACTAGGTTTACCTGTCTCTTTAGTGGTGTGTGTTTGTACATGTTGGCAAAAGTTTCACAATCTCTCTTCCTGTAGTGTGTGAAATCTCAGTGACCTCACGGTTAACACAATGCCTTCAGCCCTATATGAAAACAACTAATATATTAAAGACAACCTGTTGAAGCTAGAAAGAGATGTGACTTTAACAAGTGACAAATTTTAATCAAGTATTATACCATAGGTCTGTTTCTCCATTACAATGTTAATGCTCTATTGAATAAACATCTGGTATGATGAATTGCAAGTTTACTTTCATAGCCTACCTATAGTCATACCATCTTTACAAATAATAAGTAGGACTATCTTACCTCATTCCCTCTAGCATTTCCCGCAACACAAATATATTAATCTTTTCCTAAAACATTCAACAAATTGTTCTATAACTTTACATATAATTAATTTACATTGTTTTTTATTTTTTCTGGCAACATTCAATATGTAATATTTTAACTGGTTTGAAAAAAGCTTCAAGCAACAAAAATTCTGACACATTTGTCATATAAGTTATTACCTCTTTGACCTGATTCCAGAGATCGGCCTCTACAGGGTTAACCTCCAGTGTTGGCAGGGTGAACTTGAAATACGGCCTCAAATTCTTGTATACGTAAATGTACGGACCTGAGGCTACAGCTATGGCTGAAATATTACAGTAATTAATTTGTTAATTATTATTCTCATATGAACTTAAATATGTTTATATCAAACACATATCATATTAGGTTATATCAAACTGATACTACCAGTATAAAAACTTACATCTTAATAATTCAAACGATATTTGGGTTGATTATACATGTATCATGTTGTTAAAACTCTGACAGGGATAATTTTAAAAACATTAATAATTGCCTTATGGTTTTCATTTCTAGTGGAAATATATACCTGGTGTCCGGGGTTCATGGGTGTCCATGTAAAATGTCACAACCCCTGTAGGTAGGTCAATTATCGTGTGTTCACTCATTAAATTCGTCCCTGAAATATACAAAAGAAGATAGATTATTGGCTAAAGTTTGAAATTTTGAACAAATTGAAAAAAAATGTGCATCTAAAACTAGCAATAGTGATACTATATAGCGGGTTATTTTCACCCCTTGTTATTTTTTCTTCCCTTTTTTCACAATTGCAAACATTATCTTGCCCCATTTTGAATTTGCTCAGACACAGTTCTGTATAAGAAGTTCTCCTACGTTCATTGAATTTTCCCTGTCTTTAATTTGCCCTACTGAGAGAAGGGCAAAAATAAACGGGGGGCAAAACTTTCCCTGTATACAGTATTTCTTCCCTACCTTTATAGACTTTGAGCTTCATGTTGTATGTTCCTGTCCCTAGGTCAGCTATGATAAGTTTCCAGTCACCGTCGGCTTGGACATCAGACAGACAGATACACTGGGTCAATGTGTAGAGAGAGGCCACAGGGTCCTTATAGGCATCCAGCCATTTATCATTTCCCATCGTACTACAAAAATCAGATATCGTGATAACAAAGTTTACTGTCTGTATTATTCTATGGATTTTACACTTAAATTTTAGAAACAATATGAATTGCTATAATAATTTTGTATCTCCATGTTTACCAGTATTTTGACTACGTACATGCATAGCAAAATAAATACAGGTGATAACTCAACCCAATGCAATTACTATGAACAATGCAGAGAAAGGTGAATGTTGATCAACATGGTATGGAAATATGAAGGGAGAACAAATGCTGAGAAATTTAACTGAATTTTTGTCTTTATATGGATTAATTTTGGCATATACAATCTCATCAAGGTTTGTTATGATTAATTTGGTAGTTGGTAATTTGGAAGTTAATTACAATGCAACTCCCTTTAAATTCTTCTAATTCTTTTGGGGCAAATATGATCCAATTTGCTACACTGCAACAATGCATGAGACATATACTATGTTGATGTGTCTTGTGCAGTTTGATGTTTGAAGAGGCAGATCGATGATTTAACTGTAAGCTTTGTATAGGACTGCTATGGCACGCCAAATTCGAGATGAGCTAAACATAGTTTCACAGTCGATAAATTAAGATTATCTGTTGAAAACTATAGTTTACGAACTATAGATTATAGTTAACAATAGAGAGGTTGAGATTTCAAACATGTACGTGTACGGGTCATCTAGTAGGGGAATAACCTAAATTCTGTGTGTATTACGTCATCAATTTTAGTGACGTCAAGATTGCTACACATTCGTAAAACTTGTAGAATGGAATCTACAAGTAAGTGAAAACATGTAGCTTTAATAATAAAAATTAGCCAATTTAAGTGTGTAAATGTGATTGTTATACATTATATAGGATGTTTATGGTACTTTCACGAGCACTTATTTTCATCAAGTTTTGTTTACTAATTAACGACAAAAAACCTTCTAAATAGGTGAAACAGAGACACCGATCGCGGTGTAAACGTACATGTTACACGTCATAAAAATCTCAACAGACAAATTTTAAAAAACGTGTACGCGTACGTCAAAATATATACAAGTACACATACGCATATCTCAACCTCTCTAGTATTAATCTATATTTTACATCTGTAAACCATAAGTTAACGCGATAATGTATGTTTCACAACCGTAAACTATACTTAACACCGAAACAATCATTTGCGATTGCAAAACATAGATTATCTGATAATTACAGTTTCACAATTTGTTAAATATAGTTTACAAACTGTAAACTATAAATAACAATCTGATAAATATAGTTTCATGATATTTGAAACTATGATCAACGACTCTTAACTATAGTTTACAGATGTGAATCTATGTTTATTAACAAAATCTATTGTTAACGCTTTATTACAGACAGACAAACTTAGATTAGCATTCGTAAACTATAGTTAAAGACTGTTAAATATAGTTTTACAGATGAAAACTATACTTCACGGATTGTTAACTATATTTAACGGCTAGTTAAATATACTTTACAGTCGATAAACTTAGTTTATCAACTATGAAATTATGTTTAGCTCATTATTGTGAATTTGAAGTGCCATAGACCGCGCTTGCCCAACGGTCACACCGTAAAATTAAAACCGTATCATAAACTTGTCCACGATAATCCATCAAAATAAAGAATAAGTTGAATCCATTAACTTAAGAGCATTCCATTTTTAGATTAACTTCCTACATAAAGTGGCAGAGTGCAATGTAAAACACACAAAATGGCAGGAGCAGTGTAAAATTAAAAATAAAATTACCCAATTGAGTCATTTTCCATTTGATCTTTGTCTTCGCTTGACATCATTGCAAATGTTTTATTATCTTCTCTTCAAACGGGGTTCTTGATCCTTATTTACATCTGCTATTCATTTGGTAAACAATCGATTTTGACTAAAAACTTGGGTAAATTTGTTGCGAATGAAAACAATTTCACCGGAAATGCTCTTCGAAAATGAATAAAGTAACTCGACCATGATTGACACACAAAAATTCAGATTCTTATAGATTGTACATAATCTAGAGACTATTATGAGCAAAGGTAATACATCATTAAATTTCCAGTAAATTATAAATCCATTTTTTAATATTTTCTAAACATTTTAATATTAACCGAATCATTCGGTGACAGGATTGTCAAGAATATGTAAAATTGGCGCCATATTTCATATTTCCAAGATCGATGTCGTAAGTCAGAAATTAACGAGGTTTTCTTAGATGATGTTTCAAGAAAAGATAATTTAATTAATTCATTTAGTATATTTAAAAATTTTACAATCATTTCAACTACTGCAAAATGTACTTGACTGGCACTTCACGTTAATTTTACGCATTTATAACTGCATCATAAATGTTTGCACATTGTAAACATTCTGATATTACAATTGCTTATATATCATACAGTGTTTTAAGTAGTTCTGGATTGCAACCAGGAAAACGCTCGCTGCATTGTTTGCGTAGGACTTCAACTTGATTTCTAAACTGAATCAAATAGTCCTTTACCTGGGTCTATGACAGGTGACCGAAAGACAACTCACCGAACGACAACTCGCCGACACTTTTTTCACCGACACTGTAAAACTCGCCGATACGACATATTACCGAAAGACGTGTGTACATCATTGACAGAAAATATAAAACATGGAAATTTTAAAAATATTAAGAAAAAATTATGTATGTGAATAAACGTTTTTATTCATTTCAAATTTTTCTTTATTAAATCAAAAACCTCACCCAAAATTGCCGACTTATGACCTTGCTCGAATTCACGAGAAGCAATATATACATATGCGTAAGACCAACAATCATTATGATGGATATACAAAAAAGACAAAGAAAAACCTTATATATATCTTTGATTATGTTTATTATATCTGAATACTTAACACGACATCTAACAATTATTTTATATGAATTTCTACTCGCCGACACTATTGTCGGTGAATTGTACATTCGGCGAATTTCACTTTTGTCAGTGACCTGTCTGTCGGTGAGTTGTCTGGCACCGCCTTTACCTACCTTTTCAACCCCTAATGGCATTTTGTTAAAAATGTTACACTATATTATAAAACTCTCGTACATTAAATATAAGGGGATTCAAGCAGTTTCGAAAATTTCAAGTAGTTCCAGTTATACCCATTTATCGGGATTATTAAATTGAAATTGTATCAAAATTCATTATAAATGATCAATTTGTAGAGAATTCCCTACAATGAGACCTGAACATGTAATTTATATATGTATTATATAGATAAAAATAAAAAGGAGAAAACATGATGTTTATGCAAATTTATTGAAAATGAAAACATGAATTAATCTCAACACGAAGTGAACTTTTTTTTCTATACACTTTCTCAGCCCCTTTGAAATCAATTTTATTATTTACAAATATTTCAATGAAAAATTAAATTATATTTTTGTCCTTTTTAATTTGTTTTTGTAAGTCTTGTATGGTGTACAACTCCTTTGAGAAAACACTGTCTGTAGTAAATCCAGAAGTACTTAAATTGGGATGTTGTGAAGATTGCTCATTATTTTGGAGATGCTTCGTAGTATCAGGGAACCCAAAATTCTTGAGAAAGAAGAAACACCTGGCAGTGTCTTATCCACACTTCACCAATTAAAAAGATACCCTTAAAAGTTTCAAAAAACACCTACAACTTTAGAAACTGCATGTAATTTTTCTACTCAACGTAAATAAAGCTCTTCTGGTAGTAAACATTAAGCTGTTAAGATGGAAAGAGAGACGGACTTTATGATCTCGCTTCAACGTCTATATTTTAGACAATAAATTCAGCTTTGTTATACAAAATTTCACAAAAAACAGAAACCATTTAGTGTGTTTAATTTTCATTTTTAAACGAAAATTATCCAGAACTGCTTAAAATCCGAAACTACTTAAAGCACTGTATTCTTAAATAGATGGAAAGTCAGGCTCTGTACGGAAAAAGAAAGAAGAAAAAGACAAAGTCACCGAATCCGTTGTTTGAAATGTGGCTCAAAGAATGGAAAGAGGATGCAGCAGAAAAGGGCATAAAAACACAGTTTGTTTATGCCAAGGTAGAAATTAAGTTGTCTTTTAGAGGGTATTGTTGGGAACCCACTATAAACATATTTGTTTATTGAGGGTAACTGGCAAGCAATAAGAATGAGATACTAAACTAGAACAGCCAATTTGATAAAACTGAATTTGAAGCTGGGTCCACTGAATCACTACATATTATTAACTCTAGCATGGTGCTACTCCTTTTGAGCTAACTGACATAAAAATCCAGGCCCAGAAATTTACATTAATTAAATACTTAAGGTAGATCGCGGGTTTACTGTCTGTCTGAAAACATACTTTGAAAATTTGTCTGCTGAATCCTCTCGTTTCGAATTTTACTTTCTGAAATTTTTGTGAGATTCGTCTGCGTGGTTATAATGTTATCGTATTTCAAAGGCACTAATGTTGATGAGAACAGGTGACGCTATTACAATGAAATATATAGTTGTAAATGCACCTTTTTCGCCGGTAAACGTATTTTAAACCATGCCCATAATATGAAAACGGCGCAGACGAATTTTATGTTACTCAACACAATGAATATGAGATAAATTTAGAATAGATCTATTTAAAAAAAATAATATGTGTTCTCGCTCATTTTCTCGCAAAAAAACTTTAAAGTTTAACAAATTTGTAACAAACGTATATAATTTCATTAAGACGTTATGTAACGTTTATGCGACGTCATTATTTTCAGACGCCTCAGAATCACAATGTAATCAACAATTCAATGAAAATAAAACATGTTTTATCCGTATTTTCAATTTTTAATTGATTGATAATAAATGTTCATGTAAACATTATCATAATTTACAAAAATTGTCACACTTTTTTCAATGAAACACTGTCATGTTATTTGTTTTCTCGATAAACTCAAGCACTAACCCTAGTAGTATTTGTTATCTTTAGTAAAATGTGCCATGATTTTGAATCGAAAATGTTACAAGTTACAATTAATTAATTAAATGTATACCATGTATACTGAAGATCAGTAAACTAATTTTTGCTAGCACACTATCTAGTATCTATAATAAAGTTAGATAATAAATTAAATGAAATTATATCTATACAAAGAATGATGAATTATTACACTTTACTTTGAAGATAGAATCAATTTTAACCTTTCATTTTTTAACTTTATGTAAACTCTTAATTCTTATTTAGTATTGATTATTTATTGATTAATCCTTTATTTTTTTATTACAAATAAATAAATATTTTTACAGACAAAACAAACTTTAATGTTTTGTTTTATTTTATGATGCATACTGATGGAAAATACTTTTGTTTGTAGTTTGATACTGTAAACATAGTAAGCTTTTTACGTCGAATCCCATTGTGACGTCAGCAAACCCGCGATCTACCTTAAATTTAAAATTGTAATGTTTTTAGAGTTAAAATAGTTGCATGTATACAGTAAAATTATTAAGTAATTTTTAATTACCCCGGTAACACTCATCAGAATCTTTGATATTTTAGGCATTAAAGTCGCTACAAAGATATCCACTTGTTTTAACATCAGGGAAAGACTGCAAAATCTTGGAAAATTTTGGTAAAACTGTTTTTCTTATGAAGATTTTTGTTTCACATTTTGTAATTTAAACGAGTTGCATAATTTTCTTATAACCAATTTATGTTTCCTTATATGTATATGTTTTATTTTTATAGGTGACAAAACTTGCAAAATGCTGGATGATCGGCTTCAAAAACATATACAAGAACACGGTAAATTAAAACTTCTGTCTATAATAAAAAAAATTCAGAAAGTAAATGTAATCTACTTCTTGATTTCCTTCCTCTGTATTTAAGGATATAATTGAATTTTTTGAAAAATGATCTGGCGATAGGCTTTCCTTATTTATTTGTGGTCAGATGTACAGCTGTCTCAAGCCATTGCAAACTTATTATTTACAGCAGTGTTTGTGATGTGACAATGCCACTATATGCATACTGACCATCTAAAGAATACAGCTTAAAATCCAGTGATTGTGTTATGAAATGTTTGTTTTTGTATAGATTATATAAGGACTACAAATAGACTACCGGTTTATAGTATACATTGTTCATTTATATAATCCCAGAAGAAGATCCTCCCTAAATTTAATGAATGCTGAATACAGATAATTGCTGTTGTTGACACAAGATTTTGCAGATATAGTTACATGTACGTAAAATTTTACTTTCATTTTAGGCACAATTGTTCCACCCACAACTGAAGAGGATTCCCACACCAAACCAGCAGCCAAACAGAAACCAAAACAGAAGAACAAGGCAGCCTCTACAGCCACTGGGCCCGTCAATCAGCAGAGAGTTGTCTCCCATGGAGCAGTCAATCAGCAGCGAGTTGTCTCCCATGGAGCAGCACATGCTCTGTCTGACTCGGATAGTGAGGGGGAGGCGGAGGTCCCACAACCCCCAAGGGTAAACATGAATTATCCCATAGGCAGTTATCATTTGTAATTAAAAATATACCAAAGTTTCTCAGTCCCCAGTTTGAATCATAAAGTTCATGGTATATATGCTCGCTAACTGAAAACAGAAGGTAATGCATTATCAGCTGTGTAAGTGATACATCAAGTTTATACAAGTAGATTATTTGGAATGTTGACGACTCTACACCACAATCGAAAAAATCTCAAGTCTTTCCCTCAGGTAAATCTGTGAATAAAATGTGGTTTAGATTATTTTTTTGAATTCAGAAAAGACAGAGGTCTGGACTAGCGAGTGGAGAGAGGGAGTATATTCCTGCCTACAGGTCCGGTCCTTATGCTCTCCTTATCACTCTGTACAGAGACAGACAGGTATACAGTTACAGTATATTAGTAACCTCATTTACACCACACAATGAAAATATTCTATAAGTGTTTTGAGATGCATCCCTTTTTCCTCATATTTTTACATATACAATATACGAGGGCTGTTCGGAAATTATTGAGACAATTACATTTACTCCATAAAGCATTGAGATAATTTCAGGAAAATTCATCAACATTTTATAAAGAAGGAATAAAACACTTATGCAAAATTTCTAATCCCTATGATAAAAAGAAAAGTTTGGGTGAAATAATATACATGCATATGTCTATCGACCTGGAGCAGCATCGCAACGTTATTTTAACACCATGTCAGCCAGGGATTTTCACATGTAAAACGATCGGGAAGCGTTTAATCTTTTTCCTTCTTTGTTATTACATATAACAGTACAAAAATAAAACTGTCTCTTATCTTAAACTATTCCTTAAAAATGTATGCTGTTGCTACCCGTGTGTAATATTTTCGTTGTGGGTAAAGATGACCTAAAATAATGTAGTGCCAATTTACGCAATGCGGGTCAACGATATTGATACTGTACGTAATAAATGATGGTCGTTCGGAGCTTTTAATTTTACTCTAGTTGAATTAATTGTAAAAAAAAAAAAGTGTACCAATGAAATAACAAACCCTAACACATTGTTTTTTTTTCTCTCGTAGTTATTATTTTAGCAGGTCGTTGTGTCTGGAAAAGAGTTCTCCATTGCGCTTCACAAAATTTTAGGTATCTTCGCTGCTCCGCCCTTGACGTCAAAATCCATTTTTTCGTTCTTACCAGATTTCTCTACCGCGATTATTTTTCTATGATCTCCGTATTCCTGATCAAAATTCTATCGAAGTTGCACAACATGAATTTGAATTAAAGCTGAAAAATTATACACATAAACAAAATTATTTTCGCTCTTAATATGGGTCCACAAAGAGTAAGAACGTTGGTGTTACATATTTTCAATATCTTATTTCGAGACTGCTCCGGGTACCCCTACTGATGACGCATTTATATACCACTGTACATAAAATATTTAATATTTGTAAAATATTTGTTGCTTCTATTAATATATTCTTAGTGCATGTCAAACGTATATGCAAATTTTTACCGAAAGACGTTCATTAGAAAGCAAAATATCTCAATAATTTTCGAACAACCCTCGTACATTGTTTAATATTTTTTTAATTTCTTTGTTGTAATTTTAGTCTGCAGATGGAAGAGGATTTATGACAAAGACCGAACTCTGTAACAAAGCCCAGCCATTGGCTGACAAATCCTTCACACTGGTGAGTTATAAATAACAAAGCCCAGCCATTGGCTGACAAATCCTTTACTCTGGTGAGTTATAAATAACAAAGCCCAGTCATTGGCCGACAAATCCTTCACACTGGTGAGTTATAAATAACAAAGCCCAGCCATTGGCTGACAAATCCTTCACACTGGTGAGTTATAAATAACAAAGCCCAGCCATTGGCTGACAAATCCTTCACACTGGTGAGTTATAAATAACAAAGCCCAGCCATTGGCTGACAAATCCTTCACACTGGTGAATTTTAAACCATGAATCCTCCAGTATGGTGTCATATTCAAAGAAAATATCCTTGCAAAGAACTTCATGAACTATGTACATATACTGTATATGTGTATGTGTTAACAGGCAGATCCAGGTTGTCGGTACACTGCCTGGTCCTCTATGGGGACTCTGATCAAGAAAGGCCTAGTGGTGAAGGAAAGTAGTCCAGCCAAGTACAGCTTGACAGAGGTTGGGTGTCAGCTGGCACACCGGCTAGAGGCAATTCAGGCTGACGACCTACCACTCAGACCAGCCTCCAGCCAGAGATTACCAGTAAATGTCCACGGACACAGGAATCAAGACCATGGGTAAGATTATTGTATACAGGGTTATTTCACCCTGTGTAATTTTCACCATTTCACACTTGCAGACAATTTTGCCCCGTTTTAAATTCGCCCATCCAATAAATTTCAATAAGAAATTATATTGTATTCTGTGAATTCGCCCCGTTTTAAATTCGGCTAAAGAAGGGTTTTGCAAAAGGGAATAAAATAAAATTGGGGCAAAAATTTCCTTGTATGTACAGTATGTGGTGTTAGTATGACTGAATAAAAAGGGAAGTAAGAGTCATGAGTTCTTAATGCATTTTATTTTCCAGATCACTTCAATACAAGTATGTAACAAATGAAGGAGAGGAAGTGAACAAGAAAGATAAAGCAGCAGTGCTTATTGATGGTGAGGTCAAAGATTGGTATAAGTAGAGAAATTTACATTCTACAGATCTTTTCCTTCTCAACCATTTATTGTATACTGAAGATTCCTATTTATATGTGAGGAATAAATTATCGCTTAATTGCGCGAGATGCTTCACTCGCGAAATAAAAAGTATTTGCTGTTATTTTTATGGTGCTGAAATCCATGTAAGTTCTGTTAATCAACCGTTTTTTGCGAATTATTGTTCTCAAAATTTGCCGTTTAAGAGTAATTTCTCCATAATAATTACTCGCAAAAAATAAGGAATTTACAGTAAATTACAAGCATGTATTGTCAGTTTTAGAAGCAAACAGGATAGAAGAAACGTCACTTTTGAATTATAAAAAAAATAACAAAATTTTGTAAAGTATTTTTTCTTTGGTATTGACATGCTATAAAGCTGACAGATATGCATTCAAATATTTTTTTTATCACATATGTTTATTTAGTGCATCTGCATCTTTTAAGTGCATGACTTATAGCAAAGTAAAGTTTTAAAAAATCATTTCTGAGAGTTGGGTGTTCCAAAAATTTATTTTTCAGATGATTTTGGGCTGGGATTTCTGATTAAAGTTGACTACCAGCAATTATTGTCCAGTGGGAAACGTTACCGACTTGACACCACTAGGTCTGAAAATTCATTTGTATTGTTCATAATTAATACATCTACATTCAGATGAAACCATTGATACATTTGATATACGTATCACAAAATTGTTTTGACTGATTTTCTTTGTTATATTGATTTTTCTTAATTTTCAGACCACTGGGAGATAACGTGTATGTTTACCTACATGAAGAGGAGACTGTAGATTGTATTGTTACTCAGGAAACACCTCGACTACCCTCACTGGATGATTTAGAGGAAACTCCAGCAATTACTGCAGGTAAGGTCAAAGGTTAATAAAGAATTCACCAATCTCAAATTAATCAGCATCTCAACCAGTTATTTTCTCATTTCTGTAAGCAATTTTAAGTTAAATATTGTGTCCCTATGGTATCCATGAAAAGATATTTGTATAAAAATATGTAGGTAAGTGGTAACTTAAAAAAAATATATTCAGGTAAGCACAAAATTAAATTTAGGTT